GCTGAACTGCAGTCCAAAGCACTGGCATCGAAGCGGTCCTCTTCAGCGTCATCACCGCTGCCTGCGAGCCACGGGGCATTGAAAGCAAGACTCCAAACACTCGCGAAACCAACATAATTGTTGCAGGCTAGGTTCGGTCCGCTTCCCGGGCTCATCCTTCGCGGGCTCCTTCATCACCGCTGCCTGCGAGCCACGGGGCATTGAAGGCAAGACTCCAAACACTCGCGAAACCAACCAAATTGTTGCAGGCTAGGTTCGGTCCGCTTCTCGGGCTCATCCTTCGCGGACTTTGTCATCTCCGCTGCCTAAGATCGAACGCACCGCATCAGCCCGCATCCCCAATAGACGATTGGAGCCTGCCCCAACCAACCCGAGAGACTCTCGCAATCAAGCTGAAGTGCCGGAGCCCACGGCGACTCAGCCGCCGCCACAACACGCGGCCTAGCCTTGGATCCGAAGCTGCAAAGCAGGCGGCCAGCATCTCAACACTGCCATTACACTGCCTCAACTAGTGCGAGCAGGGCACAGCCTCGGCCGGCTGGGCCTGCTTCAGCTCGGCCTAATACCGGGATGCACGTGGATGGAACGGTGGGGGGAGGGGGAGGGGGAAGGGGCGGCTAAAGAGCTCCACGGACAAGCCTCGAGCTCGTCTGCTCGCTTGGCTCGCCTCTTCAGCCACTGAATCTCCTGCGAAACAAGCAGCCAAGGCTCCACACAAGGGTACAGGATCCAAAGTTCGGGGTGTCCTTGTGCGGCAGACGATCCTGCAGTGCGTTCTCCAGTTCCCGCACGCGGTCAATGAGGTTCTGGCCAGACATAGAAAGTCTGTCTAGGACACTCCTGCACTCTCATGCCCCCTGCCTTTTTCTCCTTCACCACCACGGTCACCATCTCCTGTTGTCATGTTGTCTGATCATCGCATGCTGCAGGTATGCTGCTAGTACTCTCTTCCAGTTTGGGTCCATGCCGAGCCGCCTGATAGTTGGGGCTCATATCGAGCCGCTTCTGCATCTCCGCGATTTGCTTCTGGTACTCCTGCACAGTTGTGTGACATGAGAGAAAACAAACAAAAGGTGTCTCGATGCAAACACCTGGAAAAGCAACGTCCTTCTGCAGCTTTTGCCAACGCTCGCAGCTATCCTGCACATCTGGGGTTAGGGGTTTCAGGTTTGGTGCGGCGAGCCAAAACAAGGAGCCTGGAGTCGGACCACCTGCTTGTCCAGGGCCTGCTTGATCCCTGTCTCTATGTTCAGCGCATGCTTGCAGTCCTGCGCAGAGGGGTGCAGAGGATACTGTAGGAAAGTATGGGCGCTGAAACGATGTATCCTTGAGCTGGTCTCGGAGCTCGCTGGCCTCCTTCGTGACTTCCTGCAGGTTTCGCAGACTAAAGGACACCACAAACGAACCACCCCCCCCCCCCGCCCAAACCCCGACCAGTCCTTCAACTCGGCCTTCACATCGGCCAGCTCCTCCGTCACGCGGTCCAGCTGCCGCTGCAGACCCTGCAAGCTGGTGTGTCATGAGGCAACGAAAAAGGACACAACGACCCGCCCAGTCCGTCCTCGATCGTGCGGAGCTGAGGGGCTCGGATCTCTTCACGATCCCTTTGCCCCGGCCGCTGGTGTTTGCGCCAGGACCGCCATTCCTTTGCGGTCCACTGACCGCCGGACCCTGACGACATGCCTAAGTTCTCTGTTCTATGTCCCGTGCTAGTGCTGGTGCTGGTGCTGGTGCTGGTGCTAGTGCCGGTGCTGGTGCTGGTGCTGGTGCTGTGCTCCTGGGCCCCCGAATGGACCTACTGGTGCTGGTGCTGGTGCTGGTGCCGGTGCTGGTGCTGGTGCTGTACTGTGCTGTGCTCCTGGTCTCGGAATGGACCTATGTTTCTTGGCCACATCATGAGACCCTGAGTCTTGAAGAGAATGTCAGCGAATGAGGCAACAAGCCACAGAACGGCAAGCACTCCAACTTGCATGCAACACCAATCCGAGCGATGCGAGATGTAGCAGGCCTCCAGCCCAGCAGCGGGCTCCCCGAAAAACACCAAAGACTCCTGTCGAGAGGAGGTGTGCTCTAATATTCGAGGGGTGTCGAGAGGGGGTTTGCTCTAGTGTTCGAGGGCCCTCTCACAGTGCCCAACAATGATCCTGCTTCTGCACACGGCCCTTTCACAGTGCACGTGTGCTCCAATGTTAGAGGACCCTCTCACAGTGCCCGCCGTGCCCTTTCACAGTGCACGTGTGCTTTAATGTTTCAGGGCCCTCTCACAGTGCCCGTCGCCCAAGCACTACCCAAGCCAACCGGCTTACGGCCACACAAAGCTACCGAGGAATCAAAGACTGTCCTGTCCTGCACCAGATGCTTGGAGTCGGCCATCTTCGAATCCTGACATCATGCAAAGAATAAACAGAACCAACCAGGAGTCAAGACCCGTCCTGCACCAGCACTCCAGATGCCGTAGTCGTCGGAGCCATCGGAGCCAAATCCTCCGAGAGCTCGCGATTCCCAGGCAAAACGAACCAAGCAGGGAGCAAAGACCCGTCCTGCACCGGCTTAGTCGGGACAACCTCCTCCCAGAGTGCACGGATCAAAGACGAAAAAGCCCAGGGTTTCAGGCTTCAACTCACGGCCCAGCCTCATCAAGACCCGGGTCGCCGCGAGTGGTCGCGACCTCGGCATCGGTTTTCGGACAACTTTGGACTGCCTGCAGTGCTTCGCAACAGCTCAACGATTCCTGCACACGGGCCCTCTCACAGTGCCCGTGCGCCTTGACATGGGCCCTCTCACAGTGCCCGTTGTTGCTTTCTCGGAATAGCAGTCCTGCAACTCTCCTGCACGCGGGCCCTCTCGCAGTGCCCGCGTGCCTTTACATGGGCCCTGTCACAGTGCCCGTTTTAGTCCTACCTGCCAACACCGCAAAAAAAACCGAACACCAAACCCCAGACCAGGCACAGCAGCTCAAGGCCCCGACTGCTTGCACCAAGGATGACGAGGACACCGGTGCCTGCCAGATCAGCTTCAGCAGCACACATCGCAGGCCACAGCCAAGGCTCCAACCTCAAAACCAGGATCACCATCCGCCTGGGCCGGGGATGGGAGGCTCGGCAAACTAGGGGTCAGGTCCAAGAGATCTGGGGAACACCTGGGGTTAGCACTGCATCGGATCCGGCCTCATCCGCTTTGGCTTTCTCCTGCCAGACCCAAGCACAGCTCACACCCACACACCTATGGAAGTGCCCACCTCAAGCTGCGCAATAGCTGTCTGCAATGCCTTCCCTGAGGGGAACCGGGTGCAACGGACCCACGGCAGGTTTTTTCCAGGCCTCAATCGAATCCGAAGCACAGCTTCACTGAAAATTTCTCACCCTCCAGGATACGGACGTCCACCACTCATGATGACTGGCCCGGGTGAGCTCGCCCCTCTCGTTCATGAACATAGCCGAGCATCTGGCCGCAGGAAAGCACAACACAAATCCCAATTGCAGGAGAAGCAGGCCTCGAACGCCAAACTTGGGACTGAGAGTCCCAGACGGGCTCCAAACTCGGCTCCCCGCAGGATGCCAGACCCTGGGACGGACAGCACAACGATTTCGACAACCATCGAACCCGATTTGAGGACCCGGCGCAGTGCGAAGGACATGCCACCCGAAAGGGCGGCACGTCGGCGCCCACAGAACCCATCGGGGTCAAACGATGCCGCGGCATGCTTCAGACACTCTGCAAACCACTGAAATGACAGTTGAAACTCCCACTTATGATGTCCTGTGCTTGCCGGACCCCCGCCCTCCCCAGGCAGACATGGTCCCTGGCACACCAAACCTTAAACAACTGCGGATGCTCAGAGTCTGTGCAGATGCAACACTGATCGGAATAGGGACTCATCATAAATAAGTAGCATCGAAAATCATCCTAATCATCCTAATCCTCCGATAGCTTTTCCCGCACCCCCCCCGAACATTCTCCTGAAGTAAGCCCAGGAAATAGGTAGCACTCACAGTACCCCCCCCCGCGGTTATGACAAACTTCAGAGCCACCTACGACAAACTGGCAACAACGTTTTCAATGCGCATCTGATCAGCAAAAGCCACCCAAAAATAATGTATATTCGACCCCCCTCGTCATACATTAATCCCTGCCCGAACCTGGAATGTATTTCTCCAAATCCCGTTACCCCCCCCCGAATATACATTGTTAGGCGTGCCCTTGTGTAGTTGGTGGTGTTGTTGCTGGTGGCGTTGTTGCGTGCGCCCCGGCCGTGGGCCCCGCGTGGCCGTTTACCGCGCGGCCGCGGGCCGCGGGACACGGCACGCGGGACGTGGATGCGGACGCGGGACGCGGGACGTAGGACGTAGGACACGGGACGCCGGACGCAGGACGCGCAGGCAGGAGGACGCACGAGAACTAGCCTATTGTAGGGTGGGGTGGGTGTTGTGATTGGTCTTGATTGTTGCTGCTTGGGGCTTTACGCTCAAGACGCTGTAGTTTGCAACCTGCAGTTGGCAAACATGAAGTCTTTAAGGCACTACGAGTCTACATGTTATGACAGGGAAAGCAGCATCTGCCATAGATCTGTCTAAGCTTCGGCTTGCGAAAGTGGAGTCTTTCAAGCCTCAGTCAATGGAAGAAGAGCCTCTTCATGTACTATTTTCGGTCTGGAATAGCCTGTTCCACGCAGGTGCAACTTAGACGTGCCTGGTTTGTCTTATAGATGTGCCTTCGCTATGCCTGGGCTGTGCTGGGGCTTCACACAACATCCGATCTCATCCACTAGACTGTCGGTGCCGACAAGAAGAAGATCGTGCACGTCAGCTTTTCCGTTTTACATCGTTGAAACGTGGTCAGAGACAGGACCGCGATCTGTTTTTCGACCTCATGGCGAGATAGAAGCTATGGTGACACTGCAAGCCAAGGGTTGGAGAAAAAAGGCATTCCGGGGGGACAAACAAGATGCGTCTGGACTCTAGACCGCGTTATGGAAAGAAGTCACAGTCTGAGATTGAGGCAGCAGTCTGGCGAGGCATGAGAACGCAACCTGCCACACACCCACGATCCGGAACAAGATCATCTGATCAAAAATTCTGACTCACCCTGACGGCAAGAGAGGCGGCAGCACCATGTGTGGGCATCGTCCTTGCCTTATGACAGAAGCCAAGCGGCCCTTCAACCCTCAGGATCCCTCAGGTTCAGGTCTGTAGGACTGTCGCCTGCTCTGCGTCGCTGTCTTCAACGCGCTGAGCAGGTCCCCCAAGCCTGGGCAAAGAGAGGCTTATGCAGATGTGCGCACATGATGTGGCACACAGGCTTCGGTGTATTCGTGCCTTCTTGTGGTGAGGAGGTGCTCACACCTGCAGCAACCATCCTTTTGCGTTCGTTCGGCCGCGTTGTGTTCATGATTGTGCAAACGGAACTCGTCACAGCAGCTCCCCTCTTATCTTCAGCCTGCAAGCCAAAGATCTGTCGCCAGGAGAGCGGCTGCTTGCAAGGTTCCCGCGGTACTCCTCGTTAGACTCGTCAGGCTCCAGTTGCAAAGAGGGGTTTCTCGCAACGTAACCCTGAGAGCCTGTCCCAAGGCACAAAAGCCCTACAACGATGAGTTCCAATCATCTCTTCCCAGACTGTCGGGATCGCTCTACTAGCCGCAGTCGGGCAGTGGTACCCAGTGGCAGTCCTTTCATCACCGAGTCGCTGCAGGCTTCTTGCCAGGAAGTGTGACGGCACTCCTTGTTCATGGCAAGCCTCAACTTCTGGGAAAACTGGCATCACCGCGACACGCATTCCATCACCAAAAACTGACTTCCGCGAGCGCTTTGGCAAAATGGTGTCCCAGCCTCTGCCAAGTCCTTCTGGCTGAGCATTGCCCGTAAAATGTGATGTGCCGCAGCCAAGTATTCCTGCATTTCGCAGGTTGAGGGCCACTATTGCAATCTGAACTGCAAAAACACTGCCATTTATCTCTGCCGTTTGTGTGCCCAACCTGACTTTGAATGGTGCATTTCCGTCAAGGGAACTGCAAGAGCATGCAATCGAGCATGGATTGCTGCTCATTGAGGGAATCACAGTTTGTGTTTTGTTGGTAACCTTCGGCCGTCTGGAAGTTTGGCCGTCAGGGACAGACACATCCAAATCCTGTGTTCAGCAGGACGGGCAAACTGTTGCCACGGATTCAGTGAGGTAAGGGGAGTCGCACCAGCATTGCAAGATACGTCCATAAATGGCTCGACAGCCCGATACATTCTGCTCAGAGATGTTCAGAGCATGCTGAGAGGTTCTGGAAGAAATTCAGACCAAGTTGATTTGCCATGACACATCGCTGAGTATTCGATTTGCCGCTTCACTTCGGCAGAGCGTCCCCAAGGTCATCAGTTGTAATCAGGCTCATCAAGCCGATTCCGTGCTCCTCCTCAGCGGCGAAGGGATCGCAGGCGTCCAAATGCGGCCGGGTATGACCCTCACGCCCCCACGATCGCTGCTTCAACAAGATCTCCGCATCTCATTCTTTGCTATATGTGCCGCAGATCTGGGCGTTGTTTGCTGCATGTTCCTGTGCTGAACTGTCCATGCCTACGTACAGTTTGTCCCAACTGCGTGGAGCGGCATTGACATTGTAAGTTACTGAGACGGTTCACAGGGTACGAGATCGCTGGGCGACCTCTTCCACGAGGACCTGTTCAGGATCAGTGTAGTAGGCGAGCACCACCCGCCTCCTCCGCCAGACACATTAAACACTTCCAATCTTGCTTCCTCGTTCACTACCAGCGATTCAGTCACTTGGAGGCGTGGGCAACCTCTCATCATTACCTTCACCTCATGTGTGGCACAAGCTTAAATAAACAGCTGTATATTCACACACAAGGGCACCAACATGGCGGATTCCCACCGGGCCCACTGACGGGTCCTGCTCACCGCGCACCTCAACCACGCACATTCGACCCAAGCTGGAAAACACGGCTCAGAGGCTCAGAATGGCTGAGGCAGAGACCGTTTGCTTCAAGTACTGCGACGTCAGCTGGAGGAGCGAGTCGCCATAGCAGCTCACCATCCTGGCGCTTTCGCTGCGCTCTCAAGGCAGGGGCGCAGTCCGGCAAAAGAGCCGAAGCTGCACGGATACTGCAGCTCCGTGTGCACTGGGACGTTGGGACATCCTGCACCAAGACAGCATCAACCGCATGGTCTAGAGCAGTTTTGCAATATGGCATCAGCGAAACTCTTAGGTTCCGGCAGAGCAGCCACATCCGCGAGCCCAGACCTTCCGATGCCGTGCGCATCGTGCATAGTCCAAGACTCTGACAGAGGCCCAAACGAGTTGATGAGCCAGTCTGCGCAGACTTTGCGCAGGTGGGTCCCAGCAAGTGCCGCGCAAACCTAGAAAACGACTTTGGCGATGGCGAAACCCCTTAACATAAGCGATCTTCTGTTCCGGGGCAGCGACGCCAGCCAGAATGACACATGCAGCTTCGCCAGCATCACTTTGAGACTGAAGGCCATGGCCTTGCTTATGACTTTCCACTAGTGTCGAACTTGCACAGCGGTAGCAGGCACCAACACAGGCCCTGTCCCAGAACCGTAAGTGTGAAGGGAGCGTGGTCCTCACTCCAAATCACCAGCACCAGCAGCATTAGCAGCATTAGCGGCACCAGCGTCAGCAAACAAGGAAGGGCCGGACAGGCCGCAGGAGCAGCAACTCGGCCTTGACCAAGCAGTGCCAAGCTCAGCCAAAGCTCTCCGCAGCTTAGACTCGAGCAATTGCTCCTCCATAATGCGTCAGAGACCCCAGCCTCGCATCCATTTCCAAGCACAAATCAGGGCACAGCCTGAGCATAAGCCCTCCACCATCTAGATAGATGTGCGACGTTGTGCTCGACATCCGCAAATGCCCGCCTTGGCATGGCAAACACACCGCACCGGTGATGTGAAGTGAAGCCATACTGCACCCGGCAATCTGCATCTAGGACTCTCGCAGAAGGCGACGGCCATTCTCTGCAAGGAGCTCCTGCACCTCTCGTCCAACGTCAGGTCAACTCTGAGCGTGCGACGTCTTGTGCTCAGGTGGACCTGGCTTGGCGTTATTCGAAGCTGCTGCATCATCGAGAGACCTGCAGTGCTGAGACACGGAGGGCTCGGACTTGCTAGATGCCTGCGGTGTGTTAGCACGTGCAAACTGGATCGCTGCCCAGAAGTTCTGGCGCGGATGAAGCCATTGAAAAGTCACGATCCTAAGTGTGTAGCATCTATCGCACTCCAACATGGTAGCTTTTCACACATAACCTGCACAGCTTGCCCTCTAAGTCCAGTGCAGGTGATAGACTGCTCAGAGCATCCCACGGCCTAGGATTTGACTTCAATAGGTGTCGCTTGCTACTTACACCATGTCTATCTCGTAATTACAGACGTCTGACAAATCTGCTGAAACATATATGCTGCCACGCATGGATACGGCCATGTACATATGATCAGCTGCATGATGCTGCATGTATGCATGAATGCTTACGCACACACACACACACACACCCACACGCACAGACACACACCGACGGATACAGCGAAACAATGGACCGGCATAACAACGTGCTGACCTGCGTCTAAGCATGTACAAATGTATTCACTCATATAATATAAGCATGCACATATACGCACATTTCCAGACAATAAGACAGCGGACAGACATAACAACCAAGGACTTAGGACGACCAACAACAATATAGAAAAGGACCTGTCCTCAGCAAGTGAGCCATGTTCGCTTCGTTCTTTCTTCAGGAACGTGTACAAATGGACGCCTTCTGTGCAGAGCCAACCTGGGGGTGCCACTTTCGCTCGGGGGCATCCGCAACCTGGACGAAGTCCAAAGCGCTCGGCATCGTATATCAGCATATCATGTTAGCAGAAGTCGTGGATCAATCCCTGCAAGTCCAAAACCTCAGATTTCAAGCTGCGATTTGCATCGTCCGGCCTGCTCAATTGGCTGATGTTCTTCCTCGGCTTCCCTGGCCCTGGCACGGCTGTCTCTCCACAGCTCTCCAAATGAGAAGTTCCTGGCCTCACAGGCTTGTGCTGTTTGCCGTCGACCCTGCTCAAGAGACAACTTCTGTGTGAACGCGCGGCTGGGTTCTTCCGGATGCCGTGCCTCCCCATGTCCGGGTGGACATCCACACTACCGGGCAGCGGTAGGTCCACAGACTCAGGCATGGAACCTCAGCATGCCCAGAACCGGCTGCTGGTGGAAGGCTTTCGCAACCACTGAGGCGCGGCGTTTGCCAGGGGGCCTCCGAGCTCATCATGCAAAGGCTTCGAAAGTTCGAGAAAAACTAGGCATCAGTCAAGCATGGCTAGCAGATTGCAAAACTAGGATCCACGGTAGATGAGAGCGGCAACCACTGGGTTTCAACAAGATCTCCCTAGAACGTCGAACTGTTGGACAGAACCTCAGTTGTTAAGGCTCCAAGGACTGTGGCCTAAACTCTTCGTCTCAAGTTCCTGGCCCAACCCTTCCCTCGATCATTGGATCAACCATTGTGACACCGCTTGAAGACGACTTGACCCCTTTGAACTGAAAGGCGACTCCGAGCCTGGACGTGTGAGCGCCTTCCTTTGCAGATTTCTTGGTGTTTTTTTCGTGCACGACCATCCAAGGTTTGCGGAAAAAGCACCGTCCTCCTTCGGTCTGTCTGCTGCATGCCGCCGCACTGCTGCATCCCGCTTCTCTGCATCCCGCTTTTCTGATGCATCCTCGGAGTGCATGCCAGGGCCGTCAGGGCTGCCCTAGCACACCGGCCCTTTGCATGAGTCGGCGGCAGGAGCTGCGCCAGCTCGGGCCTCGTGCTCTGCCGCGAAAGCCGCTGAACTGCAATGGCAACAGCCAAGCTCGCTGCGTAGCCGTTCTGATGCCCCTGCTGCGACTGCACCTAAGGCGGTTGCAAAGGAACGAGCTGCCAGCACGAGGTGTAAGATTGCTGCGAGAAGTTGGGGGTCAATCACGTCGGTTCCTGGCCCGCCGCTGCCGCTTAGCCTGTGCCCCTTCCCCCGCAAACACTATTCATCGTATTTCTTCATGCTTGAAAATTTGCAGAGCCTCTTGGGAGATCCAGTGCTGATATACCACATGCAGCTCCTTTCCAGCTCACTTTTCTCACCGTTCCTGCAATTATGGTGCTTCTTAGTCCTGCAAGAGCTCCAAGACCAATGCCTACCAGCCAACTTCGCCAGAAGATCAATTAAACCTTTCGTGTTCAGTATGAGCAGGCCTGGTCTCCACTGGCCAGAGCAGCCTCAAGACTCGGTGCGTGGTGTTGGACCAAAACACGGTCTGTACACATCTCGCACGTGACAAGGTGATGGCTAGGGCAGCGTTGTCCAGCTCAACGGACATGCGGCGCAAGCCCTTGGCAACCTTGCACGTGCATGAAAACATGAACGAAGGAAACCAATTCTGTTCGAGCACTGTGAGGCAATGCGACTGGTGCGCTACCTTGTTTATCCCAACAACTCCATCCTTTCAGACTGAGCAACGGTCCGGAACCTGTCCGCGTTCGGAGCTGGCTGTGAACCGCTAGCAACTCCGAACCGTTTCCGGACAGTTCTGACCCGCCGGATCCATTTCGCAAATGTTGGGAAATTCCTTACGAGGTGACATCACGATTAGCTTTCCGTCATCAAACCGCAAACAGAATAAACAAATTCCCAAGCAGGTTTCCGACCACTTTCTACTAATTTCACGTGTCCACAAACAGGTCAGGTTTCGCTCCGCCAAGGAAAAAACTGCTTCCGTTGGGAAGCGTTCGGAAACTGTTCGGGAATCACTTGCGAACCGTTCGGAAATTGTTCGGAACCTTTTCGGAATTGCTCGGCCTGTCAGAAAGGATATGTTGACTTGCATTTCCGAACCGGTTCGGAACGATTGAAATTCTAAGCCGGTTCTGAACCACTTCTGAATGGTTCCCGAACCGGTTACGAAGCTTGCTCCGAATCGGTCCCGGCGCCACAGTACTGTCGCAACGTGAGGCTTGCGGTGCTCTATGTCAAGTGCAGAACGACGACTGGTTTTGATTTGAGATGAAAAACACCAGATTTAATCTGGTGCTCAGCTCCGGCAGCCCGAGATGAAATCAGTGCAAAGCTCGCTTAATTGGGGGTGCCTTCGAGTGGTTTTAGTGCATTTCAGCCTTGGGGACCGAAGGCGATGCGGCCACGCCCATCGAAGTTTCAAACCAGACCGCGCTTGTCGCGAAAGGAGCATTTTTGACACGCGAAGAGGCACGCAGGTATAACAAAGCAGAACCAGATGCTAGTTCGTTCCATCTGACACAACTGCATCCATTTTGACACCTTCGACGGTGCGCCCACTTTAGGCCTATGATTGTGCAAAAGGAGAGCTCAGCCAGCCTGTGTCCACGTCTGCTGCGGCTGCCCGGCATGCGATGTCAGCTTTTGCTTGACCTCAGGCAGCGAAACGACCTCGTCACCCACTTTCGTTGTATCCCCGGCGGCGGCGATGTGTTGTTGAGAACCAGCTCATGTCTAATCCGAAAGAACGAGCCTACATCAGATCAAATCGTGTCCCGACCCGTCGCGACATGACGAAGGCAAATGACGAAGGTGCTGTCGCTTGCAACCGAGATAAGACCAGCACAGCATGCTTTGAAAATATGGCATTGAGCAGATCCACAAAGGCCTTCCGGATTGGATCTCGCCTAATTGCTCATCGCAACTTTGTTTGCCCAAGTTTCGGCCTCGCCAGACACCAGGTTTGCCTGTGCACGATGGCATGAGCATGCTGCATGCTACTCGGATCTAGATCTAGTGCCGTACAGAATGACTACGCCAGCGTCTTCACCCTTCCAAGGCCGAGAGACCACCAGGCGGCCCGGAAGCACATGCGGTTTGCTATTTTGGCCTCAGCGCAATCACCAACAGTCAAATGAAAGGGCAGGCGGGGTCCCGTGCGGGCTCCAGGCTTTGTCTGCCCTTCACAGTGCCCAGGTCCACCAGCCAGGAATGCAACTCGTAACTTACCTCTGCCGAGCCACAACTGTTTCGTCTGGCATAGAAATCAGGGTTGGGGACAAGAACGACTTAGGCTATTAGGTGGCGGGCAATCGTGGGTACTGGTGGGCAATGGTGGGTACTGGTGGGCCATGGTGGGTATTGCTGGGTAATGGTGGGCATCGCGTTGTGGGGTTTGGGGTTTCGGGGTTTGTGGGTGATGCTTTGGGTTAGGGCTTTAAGGCTTTAGGGCTTAGGGCTAAAGGTTTAGGGTTCAGCGTCTTGCGGTTTAGAGTTCAGGTTTTCAGGGTTCAGGGCTCACTTAGGCGATGAGGTGGCGGGCAATGGTGGGTACTGGTGGGCCTACCGTAAGATTTAGTGACGCCCCAAACCCTGCAAATCCATGCCCTCGAATTTGTTTCACAGGTTTGTTTCATCTTGGGGTCAGAGTCTGGGTCAGAGTTAGGCTCAGAATCTGGTCAAAGTCCGGAATCGAGTTTTGAGTCTGGGCTTAAGGTCATAGTCTGGAGTCAGCGTTACGGGCCTAGTCTGGGTCAAAGTCCGGGGTTCGAGCTTGGAGTGAGAGTCTGGGCTAAACCCTAAACCCTAAAATCCTAAAGCCTAAAGCCCTTCGGCCCTAAACCTTGACAGAATTTATTCGGGAATTATTTGCGTGCCTCAGGAGGTGGCACCGGATGCATCTGGCAACGAGCCAAGATGTGGAAAGTCATGCATACTCCCGTGCCTGCTTGCAAGGAGCCTGTCCAGCACGCACCTCCGTCCGTCACCCATGGAGCCTGAAGTAGTGACAAGAACTTGAGGCAATGAAGCACTGGAAACGGAGTGGCCTGTGCAAAGCCATCGCTGCAAACAGACTAGGAGTTGATCTCACGGTAAATTGCAGACGGAATATGCTTTCCACGGAATCTTGGCAGACTCAACGACGACTCGACAACCATTGATGTCACGTGTTGGAACAAAACTTGCGCAAACGGCTGCCGGCAGCTGATCGGCAAGTGTGTAGGGCCTGCAGTAGGGCATGCATGGGCCTGCAATGCCTGCAGTGCAGTACTCCGAAGGGCGGCTTGCACACAACCTTCCGGAGTCGGCGCTGCAGTCCTATGCACAAGGTGCATGGAATCCCTGCGTCCCTGCCGATTCCCTGTGTGGTGGCCCCGACGTGCCGCCTTTGGCGGAGTCGCAACATTAAACGTCTAAATGTCGAAGTTCTGCGAGTTTCAGCATGTGCCGACACATGACATTTGCTGACAGCTTTGCTTCGTAAAGTCTGCATATCAAAACAGGTTCGAACAGGAACGGAGAGTCCGAGGACATCTCAGTCTTGCAGCCTGGCCCGAAGCCTCAGTTGCTTCGACGCAGCCCCAAAGCGCAAAGCGCGAGAGCAAGCCCTCCGGCATTGCTGGAACGTCCGACTGAGCCTCCGTGCTTCTGAGCCTCATCCTCGGCCCTCTGCCGCAGCAGCCGCTCCTCTGAAGTGAACGTCCCTTTTTGTGACGCCCTCCCCGCCTCGTCCGCGCCTGGTGCAGCTCCGCCTTCAACTCCCGGGCTCCCACAGCGGCTCCTGGTCAACGAAACCCAAAAAAAGGCGGAAAGCGTGTGCAAACGCTTTCACACACTTTCCTGCGTCAAGGACCAGCTCGGCCGCTGCCCTGCTGGACACCTTGGACCTGACGTCAGCCGAGCTCTTTGCCGACTCAACCAGGGGCGCCGGTGCTTTCTCCGAAAATGCACCCTCAGTCACACCAGCCATCAGTCACGGAAACCGTCTCGGATTGCTCTGTACCAGCAATTTGCCTTTCCTGCATGTTCTCTCGCTCTGTATCTTCAATCAGGCAGCTGTTGCTGACATGTTTTACCAAGCTCAACAAGTAGAACCCTGGGTTCAAGGTAACGTTGACGGAAGAGAACACCCTACCACACAGAGCTCTAGTTCGCCCAAGGCCGGTGCGAGACTCGCGACGATGTGCGGTCCATCTGGCAGTTCTTCAATCCCGAATTAAACGGAAATTGCGCGATCTTACATGCGAAGCTGGCTGAGGACGGAGCATGTGCTAGCGATGAGGCGAAGCTAGAGCCTGTGCTCCTTCGCGGACAGCTACCAGCATCTACGCCCCAGACACGGATCATATCAAAGCCTTTCGCAGTAGATCTGCGTAGGGCGTCTAAGTCATGGCCTAAACGTAAGTAGGACCCGGTGTTCATTTCCAGTGCTGAATATGAAAAATGAAATCTGCGCGAGAACGAGTGTAGCGGGTCCAGTGCACATTCGCTTCGCTGGCACGTCGTGTGTGTGTGTGTGGGTGGGTGTGGTGTGTGTGTGTGTGTGTGTGTGTGTGTGTCGCGTTTTCTGTTGCACGTCCAAGTTGCTGTAGCCTCCATAAGAATTAGGCAGGGTTTTGGGGTTGTTCCGGTTTTCTGTAGAGATCAGTGTTTTGCGCTCTCTCGGACTGCCGATTACTGAGGGTTTATGGCTCGCGCCTATTTTAGGATTATTTAGGGCTTTGTGTTGGGTTGTGTAGTACTTCGGATTGTAGGGTTTCAGGGCTTGTGTAAGGTTCAGGGTTTGTTAGGGGGTTCTTTGTGTTCGGAGGTTGGGGTTGTTTGTTTTGCTTGACTTCCTTGGGGTGTGCAGCTGCGCTTCTTTCGGCTTTGCTGGTGATTGGTATTATTTACGTTTGGATTTGAGGGCTTCGGGGTTATTTCCTGTTTAGGGTTGTTGCCCCTTCCGGCTTCTCAGAGCTTTTTCAAGTTTAGGCCTCTCACTCAGCTCCTTTTTGTTTTTTTTGAGCGCCTCTTTCTCTCCGCCAATCAAAGGGTTAAGAGCTGAAGGTTTAGGGTTGCGGGCTGAGGGGCTTGGGGACAGTGTCTGGGCGAGGCGGCCGAGTCACGATGCAATCCGAGAGCAGGCAGAATTGCACGGTCATTCGCTTAGGGTGCCTACATTTGACAACAGCTTCTTTCTGTTCCTGTGTGTGTGTGTACCTGAGGTCGAGGCCCCAATACGACATAGAGTAGGGCGGCCCTGGAGAAACAAAAAAACACCGCACACTGGCCCGGTAATCAGGAGACTACGCGACCCCGCCCTTTCTTTCCACCCGCCCATTGAGGTTCGCTCGCTGGTGGAATCGAGGGCAGCGAACGTTGTCGCCAGTGGCCCCACCGCCGACCCCGGCGCCGCGATCCAAACCCTCGTGTCCGCCACATACTCGCCGCGCTCATGAAACCTTCAACCACATAGGACACATGATCGAAATAAAACAGGCGGTCTGCGGCGCGTTCCCATATCACCAGGTGTCTACAGAGTGCTGCATGCACATTGGATTCAGCATGGCCTGCAAGATTTTTGTGCAATTCGCTTCTCGCCTCGGCCGTCAAAGAAAGCAGTTAGATACGTGGCCGACGTGGCTGGGGCATCGGCCTGCGACCTGTACCTGCTCCGGACCTGCGCAGGATCTGGGACTCGTGTGGCCAAAACGGCGTGAGTCTAAGCCCCAGGCCTGGTCGTGCTCCAACGATTGTTCGCAGCGATGCATTGAGCCGAATGGGGACCAGACCTGCAGGCTCGAGGACCATGCCCTGCAAAATGTCCTTCGCTTCCCCGCCAGCTTTTCTCTCGCAGCCTCCGGAACCGACCTCCGGCCGTGGGGACAGCGGAGGAAAGGTAGCCCAGAACTCCTTCAACAGAGCGCATGCGAGATTGCACTTTACTCCACTCGGAGCGCACACACACAGAGCAGCCCCAGCAAACCTCCGAGCCAATTCGCGCCCGCCACTGCATATCTGCCTCGCGGCTGCACAAAACCGATGCAGAACATCACGTGTCTGCTCGGATCTGCTCGGATTGGCGTCCTGCGAGGGGCTGACCATCGATGTGCTCGGCATGGCTTCGTCCAATCAGTCCTTTGGCTTGCTTCCGTTGCGAGCAACAAATGCGTTTTCAAGATCGCACTTTGCTGGCTTGACTCGATATCCTGTTCTGTCACTGACGCATTTGGAGTCTCGAGCAAGCATGGGCATGGGACATCATGGGACATCGAAGGGCAAACTGTCATCGCACAGACCCTCACACGCACAAAAAGGGCTCCTGTATTCAACGTCCCTTTGCCCGTGGCCCTCTCTGAGGGGAATCGGCCCTCTGCTCGCAAAGTCTTGCACTGCACGCACACAGACAACACAGCACACACACTGACCATCGAGAGCTGGGTGCCAAATCGATGAATTCAGCGCTGTTGAAAAGTCAAGCGCAGTTTTGCCTGCGCCAAAACCTAGCGGCCAGAGACCAAGGATGGAGCAGTCTCTGCTGCTCTCGCTTGTCTGCCATGCAGAATCCCTGATCTTCGTTTTGCCAAGCTGATTGGAAGAAGCACTGCCCTCCTTGCATGCCAGCTTGCATCTAACTGCAACTCGTACAGTAGAACTTTTCCTGGACACTGGGCAGCAACCTCTGACAATCGCCCAAAAGTGTTGGAGACAGCCTATATGCTCAATGTCACCAGCGGCTTGCCAAACTTCCGGAGAATCAATTCTCGTCCTGCATACCTCTCGCGGCACAGTTCGGGATTGGTGGTCAAATCAACCGTGGCATCTTCCAGCAAAGACGAAGCCAACACACTGCACAAGCATTTACAAAGCCGGCAAACGGCATCTCCACCGCCTCCATGCTTGCAACAATCTGAACCTGAATTTGCTGCCATTCTGTAGGCGAGCAAAGACGTGCAACTTAAACGCTGCAGGTCGTCCCAGCGAGTGGAAAGCATCGCACCCTACCCTCTTGAGCTTCTGCTAGCTGGGACGATCCAGGCAGAAATGCTCCTGTATGCTGCCTTGGAGGCAGTATGTCAATCAAATCTTTGGCCTGTGCTCGGCAGGTATTTGGATGCCTGAGCGGCCGTGCCTAACAGCATCCGAGAGATTAGATCCATTAAAGGGACCATTGGTACATAAAGACAGCATCCCTCGAACTCGAATTCCATGCCGCTTCAGCTCATCGATGCCACTCCAAGGTTCGATTGACTTTGGTTGAAGCGAACTACTTCTCGGAAGGTAACGAAGCCTATCGAATCAAACAAACCTCACAAGGAAGTGCCGCCGCACTGTCACACAGTGCAAATCGTGAAGCAGTTTGCTTTAAACTGATAACTTATAACGCACAACTCGTCCGATGCGGCCGGCACCTTGAAATACCAAGCGCTGTTTACAGCGCCTGAGGGCACCGCTACCCAGCCCGAGGAGCCACACATCGAAGTATGGCATGCAGTTCTTGCCGCATCAGCGACAACCTCTGCGTAGTGCGACCCTCTGATGCAAGCATGACTCCGAAGCTGCAAAATCAATCGAACAAACCTGTTGTCGGAAACCTGTGTAAGGCGTCCACCGCCACACTCAAGGGATGACCGCCTCCAAACAGATTGCACTTCTGATTCCTACCAGAAGCAGACAGAAAACGACAGAGTGACAGAGCAGCACAGGAGCGTGCTGAGATTTGTTTTGCCCACCTCAGGGAATCGAGTTGCTCCACATGAGGCCATGCCCCAGGCCCTGCGAAGATCTCCTTTGGAGCGGCGGCACTGCCGCTCCTCTGCCAGCAGACCTTAGCCGATGCTCTTCCAGTTCGGAAACCGCAAGCTCAGCTTCTGCCACCGCGGACTCGGAGTTTCCCTATGTCCACCGTCAAACCTGTCTTCTTTCTGCTTGGCGCATAAAGTTTGAAGGCCCAATGGTGAGCTTATGTCTTCAACTTGCTGTCTGATCGGCCCGACGGCAGTCCCGAAACTGCTTTCCGTTTCATTCTTCCGAATTGCCCGAGGTCGCAGGCCTGAGCTCTTGTGCCAGGGGACCATCGGGCAGCTCCTCTGGTGCATACAACGCCCCAGTCAATGCCTGGCAAGAGCCATGGGCCCATGCAAAATTTGGAACGACCAAGATTGCACACAAGCAGACGGAAGCCGGTGCCTGATTCCATGCTGCATGCAGCTTCTCGTGTGAGATCTTTGCAGATGCACTTGCGCTCACATGTTCCTTAACCCACGGACTGTGCTTGATGATGTATTGGCACGACAACGTGCAATGCGACGGGTGCAACGACGGGTGCAATGTGCGGTGCAACCAAGGCACAGGGTTCAAGCAGAGAAGGCTGCCAAGGAGGCCTTGTCGCCGCGTCACATAGTTGAACCCATCGGCGAAAGGCTAGCATTGACAACTCAGCCCTTATGCTTGTCATTGCTTGTCCTGGTAGAGCATCCAAGCCGGGACACAAGCCAGCAAGGCAGCTCTGCAGCGACCCCGCATGCGCGCCATGGCGAGGACTTCCATAAGCACTGAAGCAGAAAGAGCCCAATCCCAAGAGCCCACGGCAAGAAAAAAGTGTTGTGATGCCCCCAATCAAGCCGCTTATGCGGGAGTTCGGGCCTCAGCGGCCAGCTCTGGCCTAAGAGACACGAGGACGGCTTTCGAGCACATCCGCTGCCCCCCGCCACGGCCCAGGCGCGCCGAAAGCTTTGAATCTCCTGCAAGCCCAAACCCCTGTGCACTGCAGTTCCCACGCTCGGCTGGCCTGCTTGAAGCATTGTCGCAGCTGCTGTTCACTCAGATCTGGCTCCTCTGCAGAGCTGGAGGTGTGAGTGAGACAGCACAGCCGGCCCTCGCTCTCTCTCTGCTTCCTGGTCAAACTCCAGAGTTATGTAGCCACGAGCCACGACCTGAGGTAGCCGAGCATGAAGCCGGGGCAAGCAAGCTTCTATCTTTCTGACGGCGATGTGCCTCTTTTCCGGGGTCGCGAATTTCTGCAAAGAGAGGACGAAGAAGCACCTCACTTACCAGGAGCAGACCCAACAAATCTGCACAGCTCAGAACTTCGCCTCTTCGACAGTTGCTCGCTCTTGAGGATTAAAGCGTAGCAGACTTTCGATGGTTTCAACCTCGGAGGCATGGAGAAGTTGACCACATTTCACGGAAATAGTGCCGGCTTGACGTCCCGGCAAGGGAAGGAGCGGCACTTGGTAGTCGAGGCTGGACTCCACATCCGAGCCCTCAGCTCTGCTCTGCTCCGCTCCGCAGCTCCGCGCTCCGCAGCTCCGATCCGCTTAGCGTTCCGCTTAGACTCTGCCAAGCTCCGCTCCGCGCCGTTTCTCGACATCCGCTGCTCATTAAAAACAAAGCCTTCTTGGAATCGGACGCGGCTGGAAGCAGCAAACGTACTTGCGGGCGTCCTGTAACCGAATCCGAAGCACTTTTGAATCAGCAATCCGACGCTGTCCTCTCGGAGAAGCTTGACATCGCGCTCCGAGGGTGTGCCGATGACCTTTCGGACGACATGGAAAATGTGAGCCAGAAAAGCACATGCCCGCAGCTGGCAAGTTCCCCAGGCTCGTGCAAGCAGATGAAATGGTAGAGACCTAAGAAACCTCGGCCTAGACAAGTATATGAATTATTTGGTACATGTTGATACCCATCACACTCCACAACATACAGCTTGCACAAAGAATGGGCATGTTGTAGCTGAAGCCTCGAAAATCATGTTCAGCTGCTCCTTGCATCCACTGGAGTGAAACGCCACATCCTGCTCGGAACTGCAACATGGACCAATCCGGACTGGCTGCTGTGAAGGTGCTGGATTCTGAGACTGGGGCATGTCTGTGTTGACAGTCTGGTGATAAGGGATAGCAAGTCGATCCGGGAAACAGTGGACCGCGGTCCTCCAGCAGTTGCAGCATCCAGTCACCCCTCGCCTACAGTATCGCCATCGCATGCCATCGCCTATCAGCTATCGCCTATGCCTATGAGACCGGTCTTCGTGTTCAGGACAGCGCTGGCGGGCGGCCTCTGCAGGCTTTGGCTCCGTCATCTCCGCGAGCTCAAAGGCGATGCATCCCACGGACCACAGATCGATGGCCTCGCCACGCCACGGGCGGCTGCGGAGCGTCTCTTCGAAAGGCCGGGCCTCGGTGTAATCGTCGAGGAGGATCAGTTCAGGCCTCGACTCGTTCGTGTCCAATGGGATCCGTGCAAACGATGAGATACTACGAGTCATGGACGCTCGATAATATCGAGTGACGACATGCTGCGTCATGACTCGGACAGCCTGGCTTCAAACAACCGGATGGCCCAATCCATTGGTCAGAAGCATCTCCTTGTCGCTGTGCTCATCCTGATCCTCATCCAGCCTCAAACTGCTTACAGCTGTGCTCTGCTGAATCACTGCGCTCCAATGATCCGCACTCTTCGCCAACGGCCCGCGCCAGCCCTGGCGACATACCGGCGACTCAATGGGCCGTTTACATGAGCCAGGCAGGCGTGCCGAAGTCACAAATCTTCACATTGCAGTCCTGAGGACAGCATGGGCCATATTAGTAACTTTGGCAGAAGAATCAGCCAGTCAGTCCTGGTTTACAAGCACGTTGGATGGCTTCAGGTCGCGATGATAAATACCAGCAGAGTGAAGGTATTTGAGTCCCACCTAGGCCCAGCACGAGAGGTCGCAACCGTTCTCTCTGTGTGTCCCTGTCACCTCCGTCGCGGATGTGTCAGCAAGCGAAAAGACAAGCGGAAGGTCGAAGTTGTCAAAACCCGAAGAGCCCGTGGTGCAGGTCCTTTAAAATTCCTTGGGGCGTGCTACTCACGGTCTGCTTTATGTTCGTAATCTCATCTCCCTACCCCACCCAGTCATGCGGACGGTCTTTAGGAATGGCGGCATAGAGTTTTACGTATTTGCCAATGCAGACCATATTTGTGACGACAAGAAACATGTCACGAGATGTAGTCCTTGGATCCTCCTGGACAACCTTTTCCGATTCCTTGACAGACCCAGGTTGCACACGTCGATGCTCCCTTGTCTTTGTGTCGATACAACCACCAGAGTCCCGCGAGGCTGTCCAGACACCCAAAACTCATCCCCCTCACCGCAGCCAACCTCCCCGTACCTTGCTGAGCTTGCTGCAGGTCGTTTCAGCATTGCTGGGGTTGCGAGGTACGGGCCAAGCGGCGTTTGTCGGAGCGGTGAGTCTGGATCTGGCTCTCAGCATCTTGCAGCTCATTATGGAAAGACCCACAGATCCAGATTAATATCCAAACTCAATTAAAAACCAAAACGGACACCGAACTCAATCAGCCAGTTCCGAAGTCATACATCTCTCGTTCCATACAAGCTGCCAGAAGATGGTACAGCACGAACTTCACCTGGCAACAAAGCCCATTGCAACCTCTGTACAGCTTTACATTGCCCAAGCTCGAGAAGCTTGAGCAGCAAGTCAGCAAGGTCGTGGATGCATTAGCATAGTTATGCGTTCTCTGCGTTGCAGTCCTCCACTGGCATCACTAGCATGCTATCCGTGCTGCGGCTATGTTCTCGCAACTGCAGCGCAGAAAGCCAGAGTGAAGAGTCGAACACTCTCTAAGGCAATGCGCCGGCAACATCATTGCAATGCAAGTAGAATCAGTAAAACCCCTCTTCACTCAACGTCAGGCCACCTACGGCCCTTGCCGAGATGATGCAGTCTCCCAAGCAAGAAAATTTCACCCAGCTCAACGCCTGGAGCTCTTCCAGGTGCACCTGGGGCTGTTCTCAAAGGAAAGCCAACTTCGCAACTTCGATTCCCAGTTCGCCTGCTGTCGGCACAGAGTTTTCAGATCGGCATCACCAAGCTCCATGACCTGACAACACCATTTCGAAGCTGCAATTCAAGAGAAACTTGCAGCCACCATGTATAGTTCATCGAATCTTTCTTCGTCTTGCGGCATAATGACCTCAGCACATGCAAGCCATACTGAATGCCAACAAAAAACCAGAACTTTAACCAAGCATCGTCATGCAGCTGCACTATGTAAGGATGGTCCTGCAGACCGGTATCATGCGTCGCTCTAAACTGCCAGACTGCAGGCTGCGTGTGCGGTCCAGGCGCTGTAGGATGGCAATTTCTCGGAGAATCCTCTTGCAGTTGATCTTATTGCTAAACCTTGCCGTGGCCAGCACGGACTCACGAGGCGCAGTCAATCTAGTCTGAACCTCATGGACCAACGCATGCACTTCCGAGGTATGAACACAGAGTGAATTCTCTTCACGGCCACCATGCGACCGCCATCTTTATCCAATGCCTTGCACGGAAAAGCTTGTCCTGTTGTCAAAAATATCAGCCTGTACTCCGCAGACTCTTGTCTGAGCACCGTACTTCCCGAACGGTGCCGTAGGAGCCTTGCGATTACAATGCGACCATGGGGCCACCACACACCTAAACTTCAGCACCATCCGCTTGCCCGGGCTGGTGCCTGTGCCGATTCTGCCTCTGACATCGTAGCAACCAGGCAGCTTCCACGCCGCGGCCTCCGACAAAGCGGCTCCGCTTCATACGTTCTGGGCTAGCCGCTTCCTTCAGGGAAAGCGGTGGCCGGGCTGCACGGGCTGCTTGCCTGCCATACTTTTTCTTGAGGCAACGATGGCAACACAGACGTGTCCTCAGGAGCGCACTCCGAAGATTTGGCTTGAGTCGGGGAGCCTGCAGAACGAGAGGGAGGGAGGGACCGGGGAGGGAGAACGAACAGGCAGGGATGCTGAGCGCATATGGCAACATGCGCCCTAATGTCGGGAAACCACACGTTTGGCCTTAGGTGCAGTGCCCTGCAATCTTCCTTGCTCGAACTGGCATCGTTTTCACACGAAGCTGCGATCTCGTGCACGCTACTGGCGTGGGGGTTTGTCACCGGCAGCGGAACCAAACGCTACAGCAAAGCGAGCTCAGAGCTCCTGCAACGAGCTCATCGGCACCAGTGGCTTTGGGACAGGCTTGGACAGGGTGGCCGAAAGACTGGCCAAAGGCTTTCAGTCTGCCACCCGCAGCTTTGACAGTTTCAAGGCCTGGAAACTTTGCAGCTCCAGAGACCTGAAGAAACTCTGCACTGAATACGTACACGTTTCTTTCACACCACCTTCATCCAGGAAAAAAGGCGCTTTGTGCAAGGCTGCCCGGTTCCAACAAGAGTGGAAAGAAAACGAAATTGCAACAAAACCAGGCAAGGGCCCTTTTGCCACACATCGCCTCGGGTGGACGATGGAACCTAAAAACATCCGCTTTGACTCTCGGAGAAAAGAGGATGGACAGGAGATGGAGAGTGTTGACGGTCAGTGCAGGTTTGAGACCCGATTCGAGGCATGCCGAAGTATCCAATAACCCTCCTGCAGGACCATTCGCGGAGCTACGTCCTGTTGGAGGTCACAAGGATGCGTGCCGCCTTCCCAGCAACACAATCCACGAACTGCACGCATCTCGGCAAAGGCCTCCTGCTCGACTTGGCCGGAGTCAATGACACACACAGTTACGCCTGGTTCGGCTTTTGCCGCATGAGCTCGACATTGCGGCGAGTAGGACAGGATCTCGGCCTGGAGGGTTTCTATGCGAGTGCTGGCGCAAGTCAAGATAGCACTGGCGGCGGCCTGCTGCTTTGCTCGGATCCCATGAGATGTAGCAACGCTAGGTCGCTTGACCCCTCTTGACGGCACACGCCCTCCGACGCCCTTGGGCTCTTGGCTTGAATTGGATATAATTGGATGGAAGATGTCGCATTGCTCCTCCTCCTCCTCCTCAACCTTGCCAACGGAGTGTTTGGCGAGTCCGGTGCGCCGGCGGGGAGTTGACTGGCGCGACCCTCCGACAATGGGAAGGATTGCCGTGAGCGCCCACGCCTTTAAGAGGACGGGCGAACGGACGGAGCTCGGAAGCTCGTGAAACCTTATTCGTATGGCGGCGTAGCGTCCTGCTGTGCCCCCTAGGCCAACCAGGTGCGGCTTCATGCTCCAGCAAGTGTTTTTTGGCGGTTTTGGATGTGCCATACTGGACCTGCATCTTCCTGTTCGACGGGAGCTTGTTCTTCAGGATTGAGGGAGGGTCTGAACTTGCGAGCCCAGTACTCCATGCTCGGCTTCACACTCAAAGCCGACGACAGCACAGCACTTCGCACTGACGGAATGTTAGAAGCCACAACCGAGACCGCAGGCTCGCGAGCGAGACTCGAGAGAAGCTACAAGCGTGCACTCTACCCGTCTGGAGCAGTGATTGCGAGGAGCCGGAACATTGTTTCACCGAACGACCTAATCAGTTTGAGGGTGTGCAAGCCAATGGGCTGTGTCGACATGACTCTGTGCCGGAAACTGTGAAACAGTGACGACCCAACTGACATGCGTGTATGAATGTGACACAGTGAAGACATGACTCTGGGCTGCATGTGCGCTTTGATGCAGTATAGTCGGGACGGGGAGTAAGCAGACAGGCAGAAGGAAACAGCACGGGAGGGAGAGCCATCATGCGAACCGTTTGGGCTGTGAAGAGTTTCCCAGATAGGCCTGGTTGTGTCTTCTTTCGTCGATGCTTTCGGCCCGTCTTCCCAGCACCCTGGCAAGACAGAGACGCCAGCATCAACCAGAACATCAAAGTTCCACAAGCCCTCGAAAGCCCTCGCCTGCGTCAGGAGCGTTAAACTGCCAATCTCGGCATGACCGACCTGAGAAAAAACAACTCAACTAACTCAACTCGAGCGTTGTCCGAAGCGCTTCGTCGCTAAGCGAGTCCAAGGCTTCCATTTCGAATGCCGGACTCCCGGCACCTTTCGTCCTTGAGCCGGCTGCGCAATCACAAGCTCAGTTACAGCATTCTGAAATCAAACACCCGGACGGGTTTCTTGTGTTTCTATATGCTGGCTCGGAAGTACACCGCTCCTACCATCGCACGTTGCTGTCTCTCTGATCATACCGGAGAGCCATATGAAAAACGCAAGCATAGCATAGCTAACACTCTTGACCACCCACATCTCTCCGGTTTGCCGTGTCTGACAGCAACAGTGTCAAGGGACAGATTGCTTAAAGTTGCCACAACAATGTGCGGATTCAAATCTTGCACAGGCCTAACATGACACCACGAATCATCTTTGCAGTCAGTGTTTAAGGAACTCGCAAACAACTCCCATGCTTCAGGACTGCAAAACGACTTCTCAAGCAGGCATCTACGGAAAATGGCCCGCCATGCATCATGTTAAACTGCATGACATGAATTGCACGTGGGCTAAATAGCCAAAACCACTTGGATGCAGAGTCTAAGGGCGCAGGCCAGCCATCATTGCACGTGCTGGCATGTGTCCGCACGAGACTGGCAACGGAAGACTCTCCGGCGCCTCTTGCTAGCATCCGACCACTTCGGGATGTGTACAAAGTCGAGAGTGATAGCCCTTCCTGCCTCACTTGGGGATCTGTACAACAAGTGAAGAACCTCGAACCAACGCGGACAAGCGTCTGGAAGCTGTAGGCCCTAAGTCTGACCTCATGCTGCCAAGAAGCTGGCATGTGAAGAGCACCACGCCATGCCACAAACGCTGACGCACAGCCAGCTGAATAAACGGGGCAATCCGTAGGTGGCAGCGGATGATGTGCCACAAAGCCCAATTGAATGTAAAGAAACCTACATGGTTACCAGCTTGCTCTTCGTCCAGAGCAGCCACCGTATTTATCAACACTGACACACAAGAGAGAATGAAATCAAACTTGCAGAGCAGCACGGCACACGTCTGCTGCATGTCTGTGCAAGGCAGCTGTGCAGCTTCCCACACGAAGCGCTTGCAACAGGCAGCTTGGCCCAAGCTCATGTCAGGCCAGATCACAGCACTTTGCGGCGCTTGGGCTGCCCGTTTCCCAGATCAAACAATCATCGCACAAGACTGCTGATGTTGTGGGACGGGACTTTGAGCCATCTGCATCAGCCTCAGCGGATCTCAGCGGCTTTGCGGTGGCCGGCCACGTGCTTCAGCAGACACCCTAAGAGGCAACTCGAATTCCAAATTCCACTGAGCCTTTGACCAACCACTCTGCAAGCATTTTTCCGCCTTGTCTAGCACATCCCACAGGCGCATCCGACCCACATGCAATACTAACAGGAACCCGACACTTGGTCGTGAAAGAGGATCCACTTTCAGCATACTCAAAATTAGCTCCATCGCCTGCCGGCATGGAAAATCATACTGGCTGGACTGGGTGAACGTGTAGTCCAGCCTCGCTGTCGCAGAGTGGCTTCTGCCAGTGCCGTAACAAGTCCTGCCAAACTGAAGATAAAACATCATCCTCCACCCGCGGACCGCCCGGGCCCTTTGTTGCTGCGCCTTCAACCCATTTTGCTGGTTCTTGTAGACGTATTCAAAGAACTCGTCGCTCAGCTGAGCGCTGCCCCAAGGGCCATTGCCGTAGCCTACGGCAGTCTCTGAGAGTTTGCTCGAGATTCCTTGCAGCCCCATGCTATGGCTGCATGCCCCGCGAAGTGGAGTCTGGAGCCCCGGGCTCATACAGAAGAGGCATATGCCTCACTGTCTCCAATAGACCACAGCCAACATGCTGCAACATCCCTGGAACCGTTTGCTGTCCACTAAGATCCGTGCCACAGGAAAACACATCCGCAGGCTGCACAGCGTAGCCTGTTGGAGTGGGTCTCTGAAGATAGCTTTGGATTTTGATTTGTATGCTGTTGTTGGAACTTCAACAGTATTTGAAAGACGACGAGATGTCGTCCAGCCGTGTTGCAGGTGGGCATCATCAGCCACGACTCAAACTGACGCACCGCAAGTTTCAAGCCAGAACTGGCGATGGAATGACCAAGCTCAAACATTGGAGACTGGACGGGAGGAAAGAATAGCTTTTGACATAGTGGGCGAGCTCGCGATTCGCGCAGGTCACAGTTGTCGCGTTGAGTCTGACCGCGACCTCTTGTACAGGAATACACGCATTGAAGAGCAGGAATGTCGAATGACCCAAGAGTTCCTCTGCGGTTGCTGACCGAATCCGGGAAGAGGTGTATGTTTGTGGTGTCCGCGAGCGTGGTCGGGGCCGAGGACGCGCGCCGTGGGCTGCGGGCAGCATAGTCGCGGGCCGCGGGGCTGCAGGCCGTGGTGCCGCAGGTGGAGCAAGGCTGCGGGGGGCCGCGAGACCGTGCGCGGCGGCGGGCCACGGACCCCGGGCCGCGAAACCGTAAAAGGAGATGTTGGTGGACCCACA